CGGGCCGGCTCTCCACTTCTGCGGGAGAAGACGAGCGGCGGCCGCGTCGAGCCTCCTGCGCTGCCCGAGTGACAAATCCTGACGCGGAGGGAGGGCAGGCTGGGTCCGGGCCGCCGACCCCGCAGGTCGCAGGCGCAGGCGCCCGGGACCCCCGCCCTGCAGCCCCGCAGCCCTGTGCGGAGCGTCGTGTCGGCGAAGGTGCGGGTCCTTACCGCTTGAAATCCCGCATGAGTCTCCTCCGCGCCGGAGTCGACATGCTCCTCAGCTGCCCCGCGGTCAGTCTGAAAGAAAAGAGTCCCGCGAGCCCCCCCCACCCCCCGGCGCCGCGGCCGAATCACTGCGGGTCGCCGTCGCCGCCGCTGCCACTGCACAAACAACCCGCAGTGACGTCTCCCTCCGCCGCCTCCGGATCCCTCCGCCCTCCGCCCGTACCACGCGCGAGCCCGGGGGGGGGAGGCCGGGGCGTGCTGGCGCCCCCGCGGGCCGGCGGGCTGCGGGCCGGGACGGGGCCAGGCCGGCTGCCCGCACGGAACGACAGACTGTGCTCTCCGTGCCCACACGAGACACTCCGGACTCGGGGACCAGGAAACCCAGACGCTACCCTGTCCCGTGCCACCCCCCTCACTGGTTTAGGTTCCCCAGAGGAGCTGAGGAGACGTATCCGGGACCAGCGATTTCAGGGAAAAGGGGGGGGTGGGATGACGTAAGGTCACGTGACCGCGGGCGGCGTTGTCAACAATCCACCCCTGGGGGGGAGGGGGAGAAGTCTCTAGAACCACGTGTCCCTGTGACGCGATTAGAACGGGTCACGTGGGGGCGCCGCCGGCCTCTGAGTTTCCGAGTGGTCTGCGATGTGGGTTAAGCCCGAGGGCTGAGAGTGGGGACGCTTTTGTTAGTCATACTCCCCCTGTCCGGGCCACAGGGACATTATGCAAGGGGTCGTTTGATCCGCTGTTCCTTAAAACGGGACCCAAACGCCTGCGTGATGGCGTGCGCCTGTAATCCCAGTGCTCTGAGAGGCTGAGGCAGGAAGATCACAAATTTAGACATGTCCTGGGCAATTTAATGGTCCTTCTGCCTCAGCCGTTTCTCAGAATATTTAAACAGGTCCGGGGCATGGTGCCGCACGCCTGTAATCCCAGTACTTGGAATGCTGCGGAAGGAGGCTTGCCATCAGTTCAAGGCCAAACTCATGAAGGTTTTATGCCCAGACCACAAACAAATAAACAGAACCAAAAACAATTTGGGCTTAATTCTTCTCTGGTCGGCTGAGTGGCCTATCAATCCCAGTATGTGGGGCAGGGAGGGCGACTGAGGGGATCACACAACGTCTAATAAATTTAGCGCTGAATTCTGAGGCCCACATAAAGTAACCCCCCCTGAAGTGCTTCCTTAGGGCCACCAAATAATCCCTTCGTGCACTGCAGTGGCGTTTCCAGGGTTGGAAGTTGGGGAAAGGTAAAGAATGATGTATAGAGATTGTCTTTGAAGAGTTCACAGAATAATGGAAATCTGACTTACTTTATGGGTCTGCTTTCATTTGAAGAGTGTGTCAGAGGCCGAAGCTTTGCCTAACATATGGTCTCCTGTTTGTCAAGAAACGTGAGGGTGCGATCTTCAGAGCCTATCATTGGGTGGTTGGTTGTCACAGAAACCTACAGAAATGATTCAGATCTGGGGGAAGAGATGCTGCAGACCGGGTGGGTGTTATACATCCAGCCTGAGATGTTATTTCAGGTTTTCTACCGAGTAAGGCCCACAGGACCAGAGGTGCCCCGGCCTGCTTTCTCCTCAGAAATGTTGATCCCCTTTATTTCCTTAAGTCACTCCATTCTCCCCGTCCATATCCTCCTGTCCAGCACTGTTACTCAGGAGGACTCTGAGCACTTTCTTTGCTATGCACTTAGGGAGCTCTTCAGTTCAGGGGGGTGGCTATGAGGACCTTCACACTGCCCCAAGGTTACGCACAGCAGCATGGGCCACAAAGGGTTAACTCTCCCCATTTTCCTGATCTTCAAACTCTGCTTATATCTCTTGTTTGTAGTTACTTTGGTGACTGAATTAGCTAGCCCTTCTGTCTTGCTGTGCGTTCAGTCTGTAATTCTCTAAAAAGCTCGATGTTCTTACCTTTACTTTTTTGCCTTCCTGCCATAGCAGCGCTACTCTCCCATAGCTAAGGAGAAAGATACAAGAGTTACATGTAGTGAAATACTAAAGAACACTTTCTTTTTTTTAAATTACACTTTTGACATGCATAGTGATCACTTTAATGGTGGGGAATTTGTACTGTATGTAATACATCTTAATTCTTTGTTTCCCGTATTCCCCTCCCTTTCCTTCAATCCTTCTTCCCCTCTCCATTTACAAAACTATTGTCTTCCTTCCATTTTATTTATTTTTTATTTTTAGCAGTACTAAAGATTGAACCCAGGACTGTTGCACTAAGGTGCATCCCCAGCTATTCGCTTTCACAGGGCTAAATCCCCAGCACCCCTCCCACTATAAAACAGTTTTTGAGACAGGGCCTCACTACAATGCCCAGGCTGGGTTTGAACTTAATGGTCCTCTCGCCTTAGCCTTCCAGAGCGCTGGGGTTATAGGTGTGTGCCACATACCTGGCTGGATAAACTGTACTTCTTAAAAATCTGTTATGGTGTTCATCTAGCAGTTTATAGCTGTATTGGAAACTGATAGTTTGTGACATTCCAAAATGAAATAACATTTTGACAAATTCTGTGAATGTGCTTCAAAGCCCGGGAGCAGTGTATTAAGAATCACATACTATCCTGGTCAGCAAGCCTGCTAGAATTTGTGAAAAGAACAGTCTTAAAAGCTATAATTATATATTGTAGCAATATTGTATCTCTACATTGTGTGCTCAGGGAAGGCAGTGATTCACCCTGGTTCATGCTTGACCTGTTGCAAATGTTTAACCCACAACAAATACTTAATAAATACACTTAACAACAAGTCTTAGTCCATTTAACTTTTACTATGACATTTTTTTTGTTTTGTTTTTGTTTTTTTGTTTTTCTCCGGTACCAGGAATCGAACTCTTGACATTGCCCTTGCCAGGCAGGCGCTGTGCCACTGAGCTAAATCCCCAGCCCCTATGACATTCTTTTTTGTAGATAAAAATTATTCTGTAATATATGGTTGAGTAACTTTTCAAAGGAAAAAACAATTTTGAGTATTTTGTATAATAAAAACCATGACTACATCTTCTGGTCATGCGCTGGTCACTCTAGAAGTGTGGTAGAAATACTTGGGAAGCTTTATAAAAGTACTGATTTCTGGGGCTGGAGATTTAGCTCAGCGGCACAGCACCTGCCTGGCAAACGCAAGGTCGTGAGTTCGATTCCCGGTACCGGAAAAAAACCAAAAAAACAAAAACAAAAACAAAAACAAAAACTGATTTCTAATAACACTCATGTGATACCAGACCTTGGGGTTCAATCCCCAGTACCACAAACAAAACCCAACTGCTTTACTATACAAATTAAATCAAGATTTCTACAAGTGGGACTTTAAAGTTCTCCAAGTAATTTTCATGTATGAGCTGGGGTGGGACCCACTGGACTAGAATTTACTGAACAATACTAGTGGTGGCTTTTTTTTTTTTTTTTTTTAAAGTAGCTCCTGATCAGTGGTAGCTTTTTACATTTAATACTTCACAGAAAAGAAGTAAAGCCCCAAAGATTGTACTCCCTGGGTACTTGACTAGTGATAGCTTTGTTTTACACTGCATGCTGTAACTCCACCTGAGCCTGTCTACTTCTTAAAAAATTAGATACCCAGCCCTGATTCCCCCCTCTGTGTCCTTATGTATCACCATGTAGGTGGCAAAATCCTCTCAGTTATCTGCTTTCCTAAGGAGAGAGGTCTAAGAATTTTGGCATATATTGAGGGAAATTTTTAAAAGGCTTACAAGAAGTTGAAGATTTTTAGACGGCATAAAGCAGATATTTTTATTTTATTTATTTATTGTTTGTCTTTTTGAGACAGGGTCTCGCTATGCAGTTCAGGCTCGTCTTGAGTTCACTTTATAGCCCAGGCTGGTCTCGAATTGTAACGATCCTCCTGCCTCAGCCTCCAGAGTGCTGGGATTACAGGCGTGTGCCACCACGCCCAGCAAAGCAGATATTTATAAAAGGTTTGATTTTTTCTGTTTGTGGTGGTGGAAATGAACCCAACGCCTCGGCGCAGGCAAACGACACAATGTACCGCGGAGCTACACTCTCAAGAAAGATTGATTAAAGAACCGTCATATCCCAATTTTAAGGATGTATGTCGACTGGTGAGGTCGAACTGAAGTCTGTGGAATGAATATTAATGTAACTTAGCAACTTGAAAAACTAATCACACAAGATTTCTCTCAAGTCTCGTTTTACAAGTCGCCTCTGGTTAGCCACGACGGCCATCCCTCTAGGACTCAGCATGAGCAGCTGATGTTCTCAGGGCAAATCCATGATACAAGTGGGACACCTCCGCCTCAGTTTCCCTTCCTTAGAAGAGCTGCAATCACAATGCAGTCAAAACGTGGGGTTACAACCCCTTTCCGGCTCAAAATCAACCTGAGTTTGCTCAACTTCAAGAGCCATCAGAGCCCTCTACCCCGCCTCCAAGAGGGACCCGATTCAGCGCCCACCTGAAGTAGCTTCCGCCTCTTCTCACTTTCCCTTCCGGGTCGGCACCCCGCCAGTATCCGGTCTTGGCCTCTGGCGTGGGCATCCGGTCTTGCGTACTGGGTCCCCAGCGTAGCCGCTCCGCCCCGCCGTTGCCATGGAAGCCGGTGGCTGGGTCTGACGGTGAAGCGAGGGTGGTGTTGCGCAGTCTCGCTGGGACTGCGCGGCTCCAGGCCAGCGGGGACGCAGAATGGGCTGAGGTGGCGGCGACGGCGACGGCGGGGATAGGGCGCGGCGCCGGGATTCTCAGATTTGCCTTTGACGAGAGGGTGGGGCTGAGGCTTTCCGAGCCCCCGGGGCCTTCTTGACTCGGGGAGGGAAGTGTGGGGATCTCCCGCTTGATGGCTACTGACATAGGGCGTCTCAGCGTCGGAGTGAGTGACTGAGGCAGTAGGTTTTCTACGTGCTGGTGAGGGTGGGAGCATCTCTGACAACTCACTCCCCAGATGGCCGTTCCCAAAGACGTGGCTCTCTGGAAAAGATTCCTTTTTTTTTCCCCCTATACTTGAAAGTAGGGGTTGGTTGGGTCTATGGGTTATACAGTTTGAAAAAAAAAAAAAAAAAAGTGTCAGTGTTTAACCATTTCCATTTTCTTTCCTTGTTTCTGTGAAGTAGAAGCCAGGCTTGGAAATGGAGAAGTATGAAATTCTTGGAAAAGTGGGAGAGGGAAGTTATGGCACAGTCATGAAATGTAAACATAAGAATACTGGGCAGATAGTGGCCATTAAGATATTCTACGAAAAGCCGGAAAAATCTGTCAACAAAATTGCGACGAGAGAAATAAAGTTTCTGAAGGTTGGCTTCTTTTGCCTTAATTGCTCTGTCAAAAGAAAAATTCGTATGGAATAAAAAGTGCATAAAAGAATGTCACTCAACACCTATCTAAGACATATAATAGAAAAATCCTTATTGTCTACAGTTTGTAACTTTACACTGATGCAAAATAGGTGCTTGTTTGTAACAAAGTTATGCCAATATTGTTTAATCTTAAATATCCAAATATAATGCTTAATAAAAAAAGTTTGCTTTGTGCATAGCATTGTGCTGAGACTATAAAGAGGTTAAAAATGGGTCTTTAAAGATTTTTGTAATTTAATCACAAAAATAGGAGGGTATATACCATTGTGCCTAGTTTGAAAGATTCTTGAGTGATTGATTTTCTGCAATACTGTATAGTAGAGGACAATACAGAAACAGCTACTCTCAGCCAAACATTCTAGGATGTTTCTACCTTGCTATATACTTGCATCATCTTATAAATTCCTGGAGGCTAACGCGCCCATTTTACATATAGGGGAAACTGAGGTGCTCTAGATGGAGAACAGTGAGGTTATGTACTATTATGAGGCATAATGTCAAGTGGTTGACAGTCCTGTTGGACAGGGAAGGTTTCTTTAAGATATGGAACATGACTTCAGGATTTAGAGAAGATGGATAAACTACCAAGTTCAGTTTAGGACAACAGCATGAATTCGGAAAGTCTAATGCAGGACAAAAGGACAAAGATCAAAAGCAGAAAAGAAAAAGTAGAGACATTTGCTTGTACAGAATTGGAAAGAGGTGAGATTAGTACGGTAAATTGCAGGTAGATTTTAAACTCTTCTAGGCTGAGTAAAAAATTTGATTTTGTGAGAGGTGAAAGTGAAGATTTTGAATTCAGTGTAAAGAAACTATAAAATTATGCCAGCATCATGTAGAATAGAGAGCTGAGAGTAAAAATTGGTCTGTTAAGAGTTTAATCTTAGAATACTAGTAAATGTCATGAGGACCCTTTGTAGAATGTAGCAATATGAATGGCAGCAAAAGTAGAATGAATTTATTGTGAAACAAGACATCCAAAGACTGGAAGGATACATAAAGGCAGGAGTCATATCTTCAAATTCAGTGACTCCTCCAGCTGATGAAAGTTTGAGAGACTTAAGACATCAGTTGGAAACTAGTTCAGTTTTGGAAATGTTGATTTGAGGTGACAGCAGTACATTTAAGTAAAGATGCCGTTAGGCTTTTATAAATAGGGAAAAATGAGAGCAGAGCAGAAGACAGAATCATCTGTAGATATGATGGGTCAATTTAGGGGAAAGAACTGAGGATGTGAAGGAAAGAGCATTAATATTTCTTGATGATTAGATACGAAACTAGTGGATGAAGTATGTATTCTATTTATTGGGATCTATCTAGATGCTTTAGGGCTTATGATCTTAACAGTGTAGTCTAAGTGTTTTATATGTGGTGAAAGCAGGTGTGCTTCTTGTTTATGTTATACAAAAGTTATTCTTGCTAGGTGTGGTAGTGCATGCCTGTAATCCCAGCACTTGGGAGGCTGAGGCAGGAGAATCACTTCAAGTTGGAGGTCAGCCTGAGCTACACAGTGAACTCAAGGCCAATATGAATTACACAGTGAAACCTTGTCTTAAAAAAAAAAATGCTTTCTTTGTAAATGTATATTAGATATGATGGATCCTTTTGTTTTCTAAATAAAAAATTAATATATTGTTATTAGGCATCTGTGCTAGTTAGAACTACTCTATTTGTAAATAATGAAGGGAAGTTGAAGTCAGTAGAGATGTGTTATGATTTTGCAATAGGTACCAGCCAGTCCTATTTCTGATGACCTACCACATAATAATTTTAAGCCAGAGGTGCACTGTGATAATCCGATTAGGAGACCCTTTCCCATGCAATATCTCTTGCTCTTTATTTAACTTGTTGCTCTAAAGCTGATTATTTTTCTCCTGAATCATTTTGTAAGAATAACCAATGTGATTGTGGCAAGAACAGAGAAAGATGAACGTAAAGATGTATCTTACTGTTAAGATTATTATGCAAATAGTTCTAAGGTACCTAAACTACTCTTACTGACTTTTCATAGGATTTTAAATTTAATGTAATCTAATTCACATAAGAGATTCCTTGGGTTAACATTCTTAGTCTAAAAATATGGCCAAAATTACTCAGTTTGAAGTAAGTCTTTATCTGTTAGAATTTCCATAAATAAATGACAAGTAATTTCATTTAATAAATCACAGAGAATATCTGTAGAAAAGCTGTCTAGTAACGGAGAAAGAGGAAGAAGGGGTAATAGAAGATTTCTAGGGTTTTCATGGTTTGTCTGAAAAAGCATCTTTCCTTAACCCTGGGTGAGTCTTCTGTAATACTTATTAGCTCACATCAACCTTTCACTGCTTTTGCCTGCCTTTAAAATAAAAACTAGACAGGAAGCCACTAAGTTTCCTTAGGTGAGGGATTAAGAGTGTAGTGTCCAAAAGCAGTCAGTTCTTTTCACTGTTACCTGTATTTTGTTGCTGTAGCGTTCTGGCATCTTTGGGAGCAAAAATAGGAAAGGAATCTGGCATTAGATTTTGGCGTGTTTTTCTATGCGTCATGATTCAAGGATTGTCATCTCTAGTTACAGAGAAGAAGAAAAATTGTCATTATGCCATTGGAGTAAAGGCAAATTTTACAAAATCAAAGTATATATTTTTAATCTATCCAATACTGAAAATATACCCCTTAATTCTTAGCCAAATAAATGTAAGTGATAATTTGGGGGGTTTTGGGTTTTTTTATTCTTCTGTGGTTGATAATTTGAAAAAATTGTTAAATATTTCAATATTGAATGCAATAATGTCAGTGTGTTAAAAGATAGAAGAAGCAGCATAGACCATTAAGCCTCATTTGTTTTCTAAGTAGATAATATGACCATTTTTGACATTTTAAAATTATTTTAACAATGAACAAAAATCATAAGTAATTGCATATTTATGTAAAATTCCTGTTTATAAATTGGCATTTCATATTTCTGAGGATTTTCAAGATTTTTTTATATTCTTTTGGTATAGTCTGACAAGTTTATAAGGTCCCCTAGAACTTATGGTTTACTCTCTAGGGTTATGGCCAAAGTTAAAAAACTAAGTAATGTACATTCAAGTCACATACTTAATGGTGTTGAAGGTCACACTTATTTGAAAATGTATTGACCTTAGGGGCTGGAAGTATAGCCCAGAGGTATAAGCATGTGCAAGACCCTGGATTCAGTCCCCATCACAAAAACAAAAAACAAAAGCCCAAAATCAACTCAACCAGAAGACCTTTTAAATTTCAGACATTAAATTTAACCACAAATTAAAGGATTTCAAGGTATTTCTCAGTAGTATACAAAGTTACAGTATAGTATATCACCTCTTAATTTAATTAAATTAATGCCAACTTGAGGTAAAGCAATATATTGCAATCTTTAAGTATTAACTATGAAAAAGCTGAAAATATTCTTAAAATAGAAAGTAAACAAATCAGTTGAAGTTTTGTTGAAATACATGGAGGAAAAGCTGCGAATATTTCTGTTCAAAATTATATAGATGTTATGCACAAATTATGATGTTTGAAATAATTTATTCAAATTTATTTCTTACATAGCAATTTCATCATGAAAACCTGGTCACTCTGATTGAAGTTTTTAAACAGAAAAAGAAAATTCACTTGGTATTTGAATTTATTGACCACACGATATTAGATGAGCTGCAACACTATTGTCATGGACTAGAGAGTAGAAGACTTAGAAAATACCTCTTCCAGATCCTTCGAGCGATTGAATATCTTCACAATAATAACGTAAGTGCTTTATAGTAAGCCAGACTGTAGGATGAATGTGAATCATGAGTGTCATTTCAACATTATTTCATTTTTGTGCAGGTGTTATAATTCTTTTTCCCTACAGTACTAAGGGACATCTTGAAAATAGGTATGGGGAGTATCACTACCTGACAATTTTGCTGGAGAACTAAAAAATATTTACTGAGTACATAATAATTGTAACTGTAGAGCAGACATGAGGTGCAAAAGGTAGTATCGATCATTTGGCTTAGAAGGATCAACCGTCACCTGAAGCACCTTTAATTGAGAAAGTATATGATAATGTTGAAAATCATGCACTCAGGAGGCTGAGGCAGGAAGATCGTTGAGAGTTCAAGACCAGCCTGGGCTCCAAAGTGAGCTCAAGGACAGCCTGAACTGCATAGTGAGACCCTGTCTCAAAAAGGCAGAAAGAAAGTGATGGGTCAATGGGAAGCCTTTTCTTTTTCTTTTTAGTACGGGCAATCAAACAACCTCCCGCTTGCCAGACAAGTGCTGTGCCACTGAGCTGCTGAGCTATATCCCTGCCCTAATGGGAACATTTGAGGGCAGTAGGGATTAAAGCAGGCAAATAGCAAGCCAGTATAGATGGCTTTAGGGGAAGAAAGGGAAAGCTAAGTGGCTAAGAGATGTAGGGCCTTGTCATTTAATCTATGGAAAAATCAAGAATGAGAAGATCAACTATTCTGATTTTTAGTGTTGATTTTAGCATTGCCTAGTTTAACTTAGCAGTTTTTTATGGAGCTTTATTTATTCTGCACATGGCTAAAAATTACTTATATATTCTAGAAATTACATATATATTCAAGAAATAACAGTAAATTATATATTTAAGAAAGAAGAATAAACATTTCAAAAATAGTTTTAAGTAGGTGATTCAAGTACAGCAACCATATATTTCAGATCAGGTATCTTAGTTTCTAATTCTCTGACTTGCTAATAGTCCATCTTATTTTGTGGCTTTGAAATTGGTTGAAATGAAAATTGGGTGTGCTAGCAGCTGGAATTCAGACTGTAATTTTCTTGCTGTCTGGATCCACGGGGAGATGATATAATGTGATACTGAAGAGCACATATCAGTCTTTGTAATCAGACTATCCTGTGCTTTTACCACTAAGTAATCTATGAAAACTCAAACAACTTGTGCAACCAGAGGTCACAGTCCATGACTCTGTGGCCTTGGCAAAGTTATCTAACCTCATCTGTAAAATGATATTGCCGTACCTCACAGATTTTTTTTAAAAGATCAAATTAAGTAGTAGATGGAATGAGTTTAGCACTCTGTCAGACATATTTTAAGCACTCAATACATTGCGCTGGCAGGGAGTCAGAAATAGTTGTGTTATCATTGTAGCTGTGTAGTATCTTGTCTAAATTAGGGTCCAAAAATATTTCTTGGATGAAGAGAGATATTGGTATGGACCAAACAGCCTTTGGAAATGACATAAATCTAATGTAGGATTTGAGTTGTAGCTAGGATTTTATTAGAATAGAAGAGGAAATACATTCAGATGGGTACCACTGAGAGAGTAGAAATAAACCTGAGATGAGGGCTCCAGAGAGAGGTGACGAGTCAGGTTACTAGGATGCAGGAATAGGGAGCTAACATTGCGCAGGTGCCCAGGGAGGGCGAGGTCTTACAGTCTGGAAGTTAATCCTCGACCTCCAACCAAAAAGTGTGGCCTTTTTCCTGAGGACACTGGGAAACCACTGGAGGTTTTTCAACCTCGCTGTGACAGGATAAAAAACAAAATCTAAGCTTACTTTGGCCAGAGTAGAAGATAAGAATGGGTAGAGACATAAAAAGATCAGAGGACATGCTGTTGTGACACTTCAGATACGAAGGGTAGAGGCTTGGCTGTGGGAAGGAGAGGAAGGATGATGGGGAGCAGATGGGAAGATTTCAAAAGGGAAATGATAGGAATTGAGAGCTAATTAGATCTAAGGGGATGAAAACAAAAGATGAAGTTAGAGGTAATTACAAAACTTTTGAGAACAGAACAATGGTGCCATGGGTAGTACCTGATTTCAGAAAGGGAAAGCGCTTTTAGATGTATTGATATATTTTAAGGGACAATGTGAGTTTCCAAGTAAAAACCTCGTGGCTTGCCAATTACATCATGGATTTAGAAAGTTATCAGAATGCACACACAGATTGGAGAATCACCATCTTAGACACTGTGGTTGAAGAAGAAAGGATGGATCAATCTCAGAGAAAAAGAAAAAACACAGTAGTTCTCAGCACCAAGTATGGCAGAGTATCTGAGATGGGGCGGAGGGCGGCGAGAAGGAGGCCCACACAAGCACCCACGCTCTGTTTCTATTGACTTTATTTAGAGTGAGAGTAAAATTTTCCATGTCCTTTACCTCACAGAACATTGGAAAGCTAGGTACATTTGAGAATTAAGGCAGCCATGAAAGAATGACTCGTGAAAATAGATATTATTGTACCTGTTATCTGGATGTCTGAGTTTATGTCTTGATTTAAAGTTATCATCCTGTTGACAAAAATTGAAATATCAAATGATTGGTATTTTATATAATTAAAATATCTGAGATATTGCCTATCATGGTATCCTGTTGAACTTTGTGAATTCAAACAGTTTAGAATCAGAACAAGCTTTGTATCTCCAGAAGTATTTGTTTACCATATTATTTAATGATGAAGACTTCTTTTGTTTTTTGTTTTTTTTTTTTTAAATTTTAAACTAGAGATTGAATCCAGGACCTTCCCATTGAGCTATATCCCTGGCTCTTTTTCTTTTCTTTTTTTTCTTTTTTTTTTAAGGTAGGGTCTTGCCGGATCATTAAGTTGCTTATGTTGACTTGAACATTTGATCCTCCTTCCTCAGCCTCCTGGAGTGCTGGGATTACAGGTGTTTGCCACCATGCCCAGCCACATACTTCCTCCAATAAAAGTATAATATTTAGTTGCAGTAACTAGTTCCCTATAGGGACATAATATAGCTGCCTCATTCTAGTGGTTTTGATAAAATTTGACCCAGAGATTATAAGGCTCTTCAAAACCATTTTAGAGGAGAGAGGATAGGTAGCTCACTGGTAGAGCATGTGCTTAGCATGTGTGAAGCCCTGGGTTCAGTTGCTAGCACTAAAGCAACAACAAACTTTTGGAAGCAATCAGAGTATAAATGCAAATATTTGGCCACTTATAGAGGAGAAATATTTATTTATTACCTTACTTGTTTTTTTAACATGTATGCATTGGGCATCTACCAATAACAAATTTATTTTACTAGTTTCTGGGGTTGCACCTTACTGTTTTTTGGGTTTTTTTTTTTGGTACCAGGAATCAAACTCAGAACCTTACCCTTGCCAGGCAGGCCCTTATACCGCTGAGCTGTATCCCTGGCCCAGGGGTTGCACCCTCCAGCAAAAGACTTCATTCCTACTCTTACACAATTAGCTATCCAACTTTCAGTAAATTTTATGAGCTATAAGTAATTCTGATTAATACCTTAGGTTTGTTGAGCTTTCCTAACCTCAATCCAACACTTACTTTCCTAAACTTGGGCCATTTTTACATATTTCTGACTTTTCCTTTTGCATTTTGAACTCCTACTCTTTTAACAAAGGATTATTATTATTGAAATGTTTAACAATTGTTAATATTATGCTATATATGTTTCATTATTTTGTTTCCTGAAGTAATTTAAAGTACTAAGTTTTACTGTAGAATATCTCTTTTGAGAAGGACAATTTCCTATATAAGCTCAGAATCAACACTGCATCCTAATTTATATTAAATTTTGGGCTGGGGATATAGCTTAGCAGCACAAGCGCCTGCCTGGCAAGCGTGAGTTCAAGTCCCGCTACGAAAAATAAATAAATAAATAAATAAATAAATTTTACCTAGTTATTTTAAAAATGTTTTTAACAACTGTTTCTTACCTTCAGTATCTGGTTAAGAACTGGAATTTTTACCCATTTAGTTTTTAGGGCAAATAGGAAATTCAGTTTTGCAGCCTACCTTCCACATTATTATTCAGTCTATTTTTTGCAAACTACTAGCTTATTTTTTTCACATAAACATGAACATTTATTATATAACACCAAGTGGGAAAATTGGTTAAATATAAGCTTTATTTGGTTTAGAATTCAGGTTCTGAGACTGTTGGAGGTTGTAAAGATTTGAACTCTTCTCCTTTTTGATGTTGGTTTTGTTTTCTTGGTTTGTATTTTTTGTTTTTTTGGTTTTGCAGATCGAACCCAGGGCCTTCACACTGGTATATCCTCAGTCTTTTTATTTATTTATTTATTTATTTTGAGACTGGTCTAACTAACTCATTAAATTGCCCAGGCTGAGTTTGAATATGTGATCCTCCTGCCCCAGCTTCCCAGAATGCTAGGATTAAAGCCCTCTCTTTTTTTCTTTTTTTAAACAGGAGAAGGAATATACAAAATTCATTACATGACTAAAGCAAGGGATTACTAGGCACCTTGAATTCTGTTCTTTGAGGGTATTTAAATTCAAGCCTTTAGGGCTATGTAGAAACAGGGGTATTTTAAATCAGACTACAGTATGGAGTTTTATGTTCTCCTGGAGATTATTTTATGTTGTCCGGCAGAGCATTCAGTTTCAAAGTAAAGAAAAATCAAACTCTTTGCTTAAATTCAAAATTTGATAATATTGTTTGAATTCAAATTTGATAGTTCACACTATCGAGAAACATTAACTCAAATTGTCTGAAAGATCTAAATATAAGAGCTAAAACTGTAAAACTCTTAGAAGAAAACATAGGTAAAAAACTGCATGGCCATATATTAGGCAGTATTTCTTTAGATATAACACCAAGAACAAAGGTTATCAAAGAAAGAATAGGAAAACTGGGCTTAAACAAAATTAAAGTTTTAATTTGTGCATGAAAGGGTACCATTAGAAAGTGAAAAGAAGGGTGCTCACTTCAGCAGCACATATGCTAGAAAATGAAAAGAGTGGATAGACTGAGAGAAAGTATTTGCACATTATGTTCACAAATATTTTAAAAATATTTGAAAATATTTACAAATTCTAAATAGACATTTAGAATCTAGAATATACAGAGAACTCTTTTGTCTTAGCAATACAAAGACAAGCCAATTTAAAAATGCACAAAGTATTTGAATAGTTTGGAAGTAACTGGAATCCTTATGCAATGCTAGTGATAATATAAAATGGTATAGCTGCTGTGGTAAACATTTTGGTGTTTTCCTCAAAAAAACAAAAAACAAAACATAGGCTGGGCTTGGTGGTGTATTCCTGTAATCCCAGCTCTCAGGAGGCTGAGGCAGGAGGATCACTGGGAATTTGAGGCCAGCCTGGGCTACAAAGTGAGTTCAAGGCCAGCCTGACTGCTTAGTGAAACTCTGTCTCAAAGAGAAAAAGAAAAAAAAGTGAAATCATTACTGTATGAATTTACCATATGACCCAGTAATTTCACTGCTACATATAGATCCAAAAGAACTGAAAACATGTTCACAAATCATTCCTAGAATGTAATAGCCCAAAAATTGAAATGACCCAAATGTATATCAGCTGATGAATGGATAAAAAAAAATGAGATGTGTCCTTTCAGTGGAATATTATCAGTCCATAAAAAGAAACAAAGTACTGCTACAGGCTACAATATAAATGAATCTTGAAAGCATGTTAAATGAAAAAGTCAGACATAAAATACCACATATTATTCTATTTAAGTGAACCATTCAGAATAAACAAATGTGTATTTTATATCTTTGGCGAAGTTTCTCTTCAACTCTATTGCCCTTCTTTTTTGGTACTGGGAATTGAACTCAGGACCTTGCACTTGCTGGGCAGGCACTTGTGCTGTGGAGCTATATCCCTGCCCCATTTTTAAATCCAGGTTTTTTGGTTTTGTAAAGTTGTACTTTATGTATTTTGTATACTAGTTGCTTATCATGTACATGATTTTGTAAATATTTTCTCCCATTCTGAGGGTTATCTTTTTGCTTTCTTTTTGAGTCCTTTTCTATTTGGTTCTTTTAAAATAATTTCTCTTTATTGATATCATTTATTCAAACATTGTATTCATATTTTTCTTTAGTTCTTTAGACTTCTTTGTTCTGTGAATATATTTAAATTAGTTGATTTAAAGACTGCTTAGTAAATCCAATATCAGCTTCTTCAGGGAAAGTTTCTGTTGAGTACTCATTTCATGTTTATGGAGCATACTTATTTCTTTGCATGCCTCCTAAATTTTTGTTGAAAATATAATCTGAGCAACTACTTTGAAGACAACAATATACACTACATTAACCACTGTTGATTTCTTATTATCCTGTTTTAAAACTCTGTATCATTTTTTTTGTTTTAATCTTTCTTTAAAAAAAATTTGGAAGCTCTGGATATCAATTTTCCATCTCTCTTGGGGATTGTTGCTGTTTGATACTTTCCTGAACTAATTTTTTTAAACCTGTGTTTTTTCAAATCAGTTGGCTTACTGGTCAGCTAATGAATGAATAAATAGATTTAAGTTAATTTACAGAGTTCTGCAACTATTATCAAATCTGGTTTTAGAAGATTTTCTTTTTTTTTTTTTTTTGGTTTTTCTCTGGTACCGAGAACCAAACTCACAACCTTGCGCTTGCCAGGCAGGCGCTTTGCCGCTGAGCTAAATCCCCAGCCCTAGTTTTAGAAGATTTTCATCAGTCCAAAAAGATTCCTCTTGCTTGATTTAACTCAATCCCAGTATCTTCCTCCAGTTCCAGACAGCCAGTAATTTACTTTCTGTCCATGGCTACACCTCTTCTGAACCTTTCTTATAAAAGGAATCACACAATATGTGGCCTTTTACATCTGGCTTATTTTACTTAGCATAATGTTTTTTGCAGTTTATCTTTGTTGTAGCATGTATTGTTTACTTACTGAGTAATATTCTGTTGTATGGATAATAGTACATTTTATTTATCGTGTACCATTTGATGGACATTCAGTTACTTTTTGTTTTTTGTTTTTGAGACAGGGTCTTGCTGTATAGTTCAGGCTGGCCTTGAACTCACTTTGTAGTCCAGGCTGGCTCAAACTCATGATGATCCTCCTGCCTTAGCCTCCTGAATGCTGGGATTACAGACATGCCACACCATGCCCAGCTCCTTTTAATCTTTTGAATGTGATTTACCTTTTTAGTATTGTTCGTTGTGGCTTCATTTCATTTTGAAGTGCTGGGTAGAGAAATAATTAAAAATATATAACTATTTTTACATTGTTTCACTGTCTTAATTAGCTAGGTTTTCTCTGTAATTTTGCAGAGATTCCCCAGATAAAGGAGCCTCATTTTAATATATTTCATTTTCTGTTTGTTTTTTAGATTATTCATCGAGATATAAAACCTGAGAATATTTTAGTGTCCCAGTCAGGAATTGCCAAGCTCTGTGATTTTGGTTTTGCACGAACACTAGCGGCTCCTGGTGACATTTATACAGATTATGTGGCGACACGGTGGTATAGAGCGCCAGAACTAGTATTAAAAGATACTTCTTATGGAAAGTATGTATATTTGGGGAACCTGCCCGGCCTTTCCCAAACATCTCTTTTTCCCTTAGTACTGACACGCTCTGCCCTCTTTGTCAGCACTGGTCTAAGAAGGGTGTCACCTCTAAAGGAACAGAAAGCTCCTACACCTGTGCCACTGGCTGCTGCTGGTAGGCTTCCCCTCTAGGTAGCTGAGACCTCTGCAGGGATCCTCAGGATGTGTCCCTGCTTGCTGGACCATGCCTTTGGCAGGGCTGCCTCTTCCGTTAGGCGTCTTTTTGCAAAGATTTTAAAATCATTTAACTCCTGCCAGTGTTGTAATAAGATCTGCCAAGTTTCCTGTTTCCTGGAAAAATGGCAGCCTCTTTGCAAAGACTGGCAAACAATAACTTTTAAATTGTCCTGTACCAGATGCCTCAAAAGGGAGCGCAGTCTCAGACCAATGTAAAATGGCAATTTAAAATACAAGTAATCAGTCCTGAAGAACATAAAGGAACAGAGATGTACGATGTAATACAAATGGGAAGACAATTCTTGTATGCTTTTCCTGGAAGATATCATTCTGTCATTATAGCAGTATCTAATATTAATGTGTACATTCTGCCGGAAACTGTTCTAAATGTTTTACATGTATTAAGTCATTTAATCTTCACAACAACCCTGTGATGAAGGTACTAGTATTATTCTCCATTTATTTTGCTGTGCTTTGGATTGAACTCAGGACCTTGCATGCAAAGTGCTCTATCATCATGCTACGCCCTATGCACTTCGTCCTTTTTAATAAGAGGACACCGAGGCACAGCTAGCTAAAGTAGTTGCCTGAAGCCACACAGCTGATATTAGTGGTGGAAGCAGGCTTCTAACTCAGGTGGTCTGGATGGTCTGGGTTTAGCATACTGTTTTCAAGATTCGTCCATGTCATAGCATATACTGTATTTCATTTCTTTTTGTGGATCAGTAATACTCCATTGTGTGAATATACCACATTTTTTATGCATTCATCAGTTGACACACATTTGGCTTGTTTCTATTTCTTTGTGATTAGGAATAATTCTACAAAGTTTGAGAGCAACTTGGGCTACAGAGTGAGCTCAAGGCCAGCCTGAACTGCATAGCGAGACCCTGTCTCAAAAAAGGCCAAAAAAAAAAAAAAAAGCAATAATGCTACAGTGAACATTTGTGCACATGTTTTCTCCACATATGTTTTTGTATCTTTTGGGTATATATTGTACCTAGGAGTTGGAACTGTGGTCTGTAAGGTAACTATATGTCTACTCTTTTGAAGAGCTTCCAGACTGTTTTCTATCGTAGTGATGGGGATACCAGTTTTGGCCAACATAGTATAACACTATTTTGGATACCCTCAAATCTGGGGGATTGTTGGCAAGGATGACTGCTATAGTTTGGATTTGGAGTAGTCAACCAAATCTTGTGTACAAAGGCGTGGTCACCAGCCTGTTGTGCTATTGGGAGGTCATTGGACCTCTAGGAGGTGGAGCCTAGAATAGGGAAGTTAGGTCATGGTGACTATACCCTTGAAGCAGTGTTAGGTCCCTGGCTCCCCGCCCCCTGTTTCCTGGCTCTTCATGCATTTCTGCTACCCGGTGCACTGAACCACCACAGGCCCAAAGCACCTGGGCCAAGTGACCATGGACTGAAACTTGTGAAACTGTGAGCCAAAATAAACCTCTCCTCCTTGTAAAGTGTTTCTCTCAGGTCAGTGGCCAGTTTCATTTTGACTTGTCTGATCATCCTCAGAATCCATTTGTACCCCCGCCTGTAGTTTTCAATGTTTATAACAAGTTGGATCCTAGAGTTGATCAACTCTGCAAGTTTTTCTACGAAGAAAACATTTAATGTGGACTGGAAGCCCTTGTTTATAACCACCTCAAAACTGGGTCTAGCTTTTGAAGCTGAGCCCCTTAATAAGATTCTGGAAGTTGAGGGCCCCAACTTGAAGGCAGAGTATGTGCACTGGTTATCATTGATCCAAATGATTCTAATATAGAAGCATGGTAGAACAGAATGGTAAAAAGTAAACCATGCAAAAATCTTTTTTTTTTTTTGTTTTGTTTTGTTTTTCTCCGGTACCAGGAACCGAACTCACAACCTTGCACAAAAATCTTTAATAAAATTATTAAGAGACCCTTGTGATTCCCCTGAGACCATTCAAATGCCTGTAAGCATGCTATCTGTCTGTCTTTCTTAAATTAATAAACTTTAATTTTTTTTCCACTACCGGGAATCAAACTCACAACCTTGTGTTTGCCAGGCAGGTGCTGTGCCACTGAGCTAAATCCCCAGCCCCAATAAACTTTAATTTTTAGAACAGGTTTTAGTTTGTGTACAAAGGGTTTAGTCTTTGTGTTTAGTTTATGGGAAAGTTGAATATAAAGTGCAGTGCTTCTATCACCATGCACTAAACTAAAGTAAAAAATGATCAAAGATCTAAATATTAAAAAACAGAAACAGTAAATCTACTGGAGGAGAAAATAGGTAGAAATCTTGAAGGCATAGGGGTAGGCAGAGAGTTCATGAACAAAGACCAAACTGTATGGGAAATACTTCAAAGA